TCATATGCAATGATGACTTCAGATATTTACTAAGTTCCTTACATGTAATATATTAAAGTGTAAGCTATTTAACCTAATTTAAAAATGTTTTGTTATACTTGAAATAAATTTTCCCCCCAAAGTAACTCTGTAGAGATTTAGCGAGCAGACATCTGAAAACCCTGTGTCCAGATTAACAACACAAATGTTTTAATATTCTTTTGAATTTACCAAAACTGATAAATATTTTTTGCTATGTACTTGTTTTACAGATCAGGATGTTGACCAAGTTTAAATAGGGGGCACCCAGGCTTGAACTGGGGACCTCTTGATCTGCAGTCAAATGCTCTACCACTGAGCTATACCCCCACATTATGTGTAATTTTTATTGTCATATACAATGATGACTTCAGATATTTACTAATTTCTAGTTCCTTATATGTAATATATTAAAGTGTAAGCTATTTAACCTAATTTAAAAATGTTTTGTTATACTTTAAATACATTTTTCCCCAAAGTAACTCTGTAGAGGTTTAGCTAGCTGACATCTGAAAACCCTGTATCCAGATTAACACAAATGTTTTGATATCCTTTTGAATTTAACAAAACTGATTGGCTGGCATCAAAATATTTGCTACATACTTGTTTTACAGATCAGGATGTTTGAATTCAGCATATTATAAATTTGTACAGTGGTTGTTGAGATTTTAAATTCTTGAAAATGTTTCTTTGTCAGTGATAATGTAGGTTTCTAATTCTGGATTTGAAGCAGATAAAGCTTTGGCTTTGTGGAATATATTGTATGAAATCAGATAATTCAGCATACTTATTAAAAGTGCTGCATTGGGAATTTCACTAACAGATATTAAATAGGGGGCACCCAGATTTGAACTGGGGACCTCTTGATCTGCAGTCAAATGCTCTACCACTGAGCTATACCCCCACATTATGTAAGTGTTTTATTGTCACACACAATGACAATCAGATATTTATCAAATTTCTAGTCATATGTCATAGATATATTAAAGTGTAAACTATTTAACCTTTTTTAAAAATATTGAGTTATACTTGAAGTGATTTTATTTCCCCAAAGTAATGCTGTGGAGATTTAGCTTGTTTTACAGATCAGGATGTTTGAACTCATTTGAGTTCATGCATGCAAACATTATTTTGCATTTAACAAGTGTTTAGACTTGAGCTTTGAATTTGCTGAAATCCAGAAAATTGGTGCATCCTCTATTAGGAATTTTTCAGAAATGCCATTATTAGCTGAATCTGATAAATTAGTCATGGTTTTGTCTGTGATCCCAAAATTCCTAACATTTTGTCAACAGCAAATGTATGAACTCAAGTTGTTTTTTAGTTAACATTACATCTACAATTAACTTCAGAATGTGTTCTTGCTGTACTTGCCAAAGTGATGCACAGTTCGAATAGATGGGGAGCATTTTTTAAATTTGTACAGTGGCTGTGGAGAATTTAAATTCATGAGATTGTTTCTTAATAGGTTTTAAAATATGGATTTGAAGCAGATAAAGCTTTGCCTTTGAGGAATGTATTGCACTCTATTTTGCAATTTCAGATTATTGAGCATGCTTGTTATTAAAAGTGCTGCATTGTGAATTTTGCAAACAGATATTAAGCAGGGGGCACCCAGATTTGAACTGGGGACCTCTTGATCTGCAGTCAAATGCTCTACCACTGAGCTACACCCCCACATTATGTATAATAATTCTGCATAAAAGTGGGTGGGTACAACCAGTTTTTAGATTTAATTAGATCAAATTATCTCTTGCAGGCCTGCATTTTCATTTATTTAATCAGGTTATATTAGTCTGATATTACAATGTAAATGTTTGTTTTGATCCTACAAATGTCATAAAAAAATTTTTTAAAAAGAAATATCTAAAGGGGCAAATGTTACTCTGTGATTTGGGGGCTGAAATCTGTTAAATGCTTACACTACGAGGACAAAGCTCCTTCCAAAAAGGTTTTGTGTTCATTTGCTGGGGTTAAATCAAAGCTACAGGTGTATAGTTAAAGCTTGTGTGAATGTTTTCTAACCGGGGGTCTGTGAACAACCCAGTAGGCTCTTTCCTGGCAGTCAAACACCACCCGGTCCGGTTTCTTCCTCTCTTTTGCTGCTCTAAAAGTAAAAGAAGACACAAACACAATTGTAACACTTTCTTCACAACAAAACCTGGGATGTTGCCGAGTTTCTTTCCTGCCTACCTGTACTGTTCTTTAGCTTGCATTACTACAAAGTCCCACTTGTGGTTCATCCACTTGTGAAGATGGTTGTACTGCTCCTGAGCACATTAAACACCAGCACAGTAAACAAATTTAAAAAGAAGGATTTCACCTGGCATTAATCTGCATCTCTATGATAGAGTATTAGGCTCACTTGGAGAAATAAGTATAAGGAGAGGGCATTTGTTTTGGTGCTTACATTTTTACGACAACAAAGTCAAAATGACAATGGTGCAGAGAACTGCGACAAACACCTGCGACAGCTGTCTTGTGTGAATTGGAGAGTAACTTTAATGCTATATGTATAGGTTTAAAAGCAAAGAGATTATTTAACTTTCAGCAAATGAAACGTCCTGTAAACGCACACTGCTTGGAAAGAACACAGTAGCTTCACCAAGACATAATTTTCATGTTATTCTCAATATTTCCTTTCTGGAAAAGAAGAAAAATCCACTCAAAACATTCAGTTCAGATTTTGTTTTGTTTTTTTTCCTCGTCATTCTTCATAAAGTTTCCTTACCTGCTCATGCAGCTCCAGGATTCCTTTCTTCCGGATGTTTCTTTTTGCTAGGTAGATTGCTTCAGGAGTTGAAAACGCGTAATAAATCAGTAGACTGTTGGTAACATACCATGGGATGAAGTGTAAATAACACCTATGCGTCATTCTCACCATAATCTGTATCCTCAACAGGCCACTGTTGTGTGGGCCAGAAATACGGCGTCTGAAACACCAGAGAACCAAGCTAAAGTTCAGTCAGATTATTTCAGATTCAATAAACAACAGGTTCAGAAATGCTTGTAGATACTTTTTTAGGGGAGAATATTCACAGATGTGCTTTTTACAAAATAAGCAAAAAAAAAAAAAAAAAAAAACGGGAAGTGTTTGATACAACAGAGGGCAATTATCTCTTATTTTTGATATTATCACCGGAGAAGACAGCAGCACAAACATCCACCAACTTTTACTCAAAATCATCCTGAGCTCATCCAATCATTAAACCAACTGCAAATATTTTATACGAAACAGGGAACCCCATCCCAATGCTGTTGACGATAGACCAGGAAAAAATGAAAACAATTTACCCAACAACTAAGAAATTACATGCTTGTCTTTTAGTAAAGAAAATGTGTATGACCTTTTAAATGTTTCAGATTGAAGCACATTCATGGATTAATTTTCTACAAATGTTAGCCCATTTAATACTTTAAGTTTGGCAGTTTTGGCCCACATCACTTATAATCGCAATATATATTGAAGTTTGTGATTATAGTGTGACAAAGTGTCACAATAGTACCTTGCAAACTGACACAATCGCAAGGTACTGTACTACAAATGACAAACCGCAAATATGTGACCTGTAAAACATGAACTGCACAATAAAATATCCAATCCACACAAAACATTTACAGATTTTTTTGGTGTGCTCTCTTTTAAGAAAACCTAAATTTTTACAGTGCAATCTGACTTAATTTGAGTCATGATTCTTGATTCTTTTTATTATTTATCTCCTTCCCCTGGGTAATATTTTTCGTAAATATAACATTGATTTTCACTGTTATGCGGATGACACCCAGCTTTATGTTTCCAGTAAGCCCGCCTCCAATCTTCCACCATCCTCGCTTACTGACTGTTTGACTGAAATTAAATCCTGGTTCTCCTCTAATCTACTTAAGCTTAATAGTGATAAAACGGAGGTCCTTCTCATTGGTACTAAATCTAATCTGGCCAAAATTAAAAACTTTAGTCTTGAAATTGATAACTGTTCTGTTTCCCCCTCCCCTCAGGTAAAGAGTCTGGGTGTTATTCTTGACAGCACCCTTTCTTTCCAGTCTCATATTAACAATATTACCCGCTCAGCTTATTTTCATCTACGCAACATCAACCGTCTTCGCCCCTCCCTTACTTCCCATTCCGCTGCCATTCTTGTTCACTGTCTTGTGACATCACGCCTGGACTATTGCAACTCCCTTCTGTTTGGTCTCACCCAGAAATCTCTTCATAAACTTCAACTGGTCCAGAACTCAGCTGCCCGTATCATTACTAAAACCCCATCCATGCACCACATCACTCCTATCTTGCAAAGACTTCATTGGCTGCCTACCAAGTTCCGCATAGAATACAAAATTCTTCTGTATACTTTTAAGGCTCTTTACAATTTTTCCCCACTATATCTTTCCAATCTTATTCATATTGCCACTCCCTCTCGTTCCCTCAGATCATCCTCCTCCATCCATTTGTCTGTCCCTTCTGTCCGTCTTACCACCATGGGGAGCAGAGCTTTCAGTCGCTCTGCTCCCCAACTCTGGAACTCATTACCACCCCACCTTAGAAACATAAAGTCACTCCCTAAATTTAAAACCGAACTTAAAACACACCTATATAGATCTGTCTTTTCAATATGACATCATTGGTTTGCTTGATTTTTTATATAGATTTTTTACATAGATTTATATATAGATTTCATATAGATACATTGTTGTGTATTTATTCTATTTATTTTTAATTGCTACATTTTCATTGTTTTTGTTACTTTTCGCTCTTTGTACGGTGTCCTTGAGTGCCAGAAAGGCACCTTTGAAATAAAATGTATTATTATGTATTATTATTATCATGATGCATTGCATATTTCAGGTCAAATGAACAGATAAAATGCATTTCTTTAAAATGCTGTGCCATGCATTTTTGCATGTAGTACATGCAGGACCAACACAAACAACATGGCCACCCACTTTGCAAGGGATGCATCAATTCAGCAGTACAAACGGGGAATGATTCTTTGGGTGTCAGTGTTCTAGCTTGTTTGGGTTTACGGTTTGGATTTCAAACCGTAAACCACCTGAAATGGAGAATGTGTTCACCTGGAAGCGATAGAGAGAAGCATCTGGTTTGATCACTAAACGTTTGTGGTCCTGCAAAGGGTAGATGTATCCCAAGGCCACCAGCATGGAGCCAAAGCTTCTGGCCTCTGGAAACAGCAGGTGGAGAGGTTAAAACATTAAAGCTGTAATAGTGATAAGGATTTAACAATAACACCTTCCTGAAATTATTTCAACAACTGGCATCCATTTGGATGAGACTGGATGACTCATATCTTACCTTGAGCATCTATTTGAAATCTGTCAGCTAACCATGCAATTATATCTTCACCTGCAGAGGAGGACGAAAGTTTATAAAAGGTTAAGGGAAAAAAAATCACGACTATGAAAAAACAAAGATGAAGTTATGGGTAGGAAATGGTTGCAGAAAAGAGGGAGGCAAAGAAAAGCAGAAGAAGTAAATTCCTCAGCATGTTCAGTTCAGCCATTTTTCTGCTGGGATTTAAAGCTAAGAAATGATGGAGAAGTCAAGATAGGAATCTTTGCTTTTGTCTCCCTCTTCCTCGTTTCCTCCTGCCTGCTCAATCATCTTCTTTCACCTCCTACTTTTCCCCCTCCAACTCAGTCTGAGACAGCCATGGTTGTCATGGAAATAAAATCTGTAGCTCTCGAGCCCATACATAGCTCCAGTATCCCTCAGAGACACTACACAGCCACAATCAGTGAGTCGGCCGCTGAATAACTACATCAAGTGTGCATTTCTATGCAAGTTCATTGATCTGTTTTTGTGCTTATGTGGGAGGGTTCTATTATTTTTTCTTCTTTTTTTTTTTTACCAGTGATAGCATGGGGTATGATGGTGATAACGAGTCTCTGAGGCTGCGACTTCACTCCTGTGCAGGGGTCCTGCATCTCCAGCAGCACCTTCTCCGCCTGTAAAATAACACAGTGAGAGATGAGTGAGATGAGAAAAGAAGAGGAGGAAACTGCTGCACCAGAAGAGAAAAAAAAAATTGCAAATTTTTCAATTAAATCCATTTCAGATTTTTCCACATTTTGCCATTTTACAACCACAATCATCAGTGAATATCATTAGGATTTTATCTCACCGATCAACTGCAGAGTGGAAGGCTTAGATGGCTTTTAAAATAATGTAAATCTGGTTAGTGTGGATTACATGTGTCCATTTGGACCCTTTGATCTGACACCCCTAAATAAAATCCAACACAAGAAGTTGCACTCTCGAGTTTACACATTCACATACCCACAGGTCTTCACACTTCCAACAATCCTGGAAGAAAACACATTAAGGGCTACAACCATAAACACACCAGTCCTACAATTTAGGTTTTGGTTTGGCCCAGTCAAAGCCCATACCTAAATCCAATAGAGAATATGTGGTAAGACTTGAAAACTGATGTTCACAAATATCTTCATCAAATCTTGATCTCGATGTGAAAAGCTGGTAGAGGTATATACAAAAAGAGTTAAAGCTGCAACTGAAGGTGATGTTTTTTCAAAGTTTTGAGTTGATCCGCGTGATGCAAAGGCATGCTATTCTTTAAATTTTTGTAAAAAAAAAAAAAAAATACAACAAAAACACCTAACCCATCATGTCTTGCTTTCATACCACTTCACAATTCAGCAATATTTTATGTTGGACTATTATGTAAAATGCCAATAAAGTACATTGAAGTTTGTGACAACAAAAAGACAAAATGAGTAAAAAATGCTGCTGGTTTTCGATATTGTCATTTTAACCACTCATAGTGCTGTTGTAAAGCACATTCGTGAAAGACTTAACCATTTGCATTGGCTTCCACTAATACTTTAGGAGCACACCTGTTGTAATTTGTGAAATATTACAGGACAACTGCTCAGTGTCTTGCCCAAAAACGTTGAGGCTTCAATAGTAATTGCTGAGAGGCGACACACTGTGCCTAGATCCCATGGCTTTACTTTGGCTTTTGTGTGGGTGCGTTCAATGAGTCATCCTCTCTTTCCCAAACAGAATTTCCGTTATCCTAACTGATCCCTCGGCTCCCAATACGCCCAGCAGCTCGGGTGTGCGTACCGAAAACAAGAAATCCTGCACATAAACCCATTCGGTTTATGTAAAGGTGAGTGTGTGTGAGGGAGAGAGAGAGTGAGAGCAAGCAGTTCAGCTGACTCTCAGGTCTGTTTGAAGTGGCATTGTGCTTTGAAGTCATCCTGGAGAGGCTATAAGCCCGAAGCTGGGCCAACCAAAGTGGGCTTTCATGGACTCGGACTCTAAGTTATTTTGTGCACATTCCCCAGGAGAGAGGGGTGCTGCATATACAATACACCAAAACAAATTACTTGCTATTACCTGGTATTTCTACTTCCTCAACCTTTGGCTTTCTTGTGATAAATATTAAACACTAGAAAACCCTAATCTACATTTTCAAATACACAGGGCTACACTTTTTAAGGAGAGATTTTATGGCACAGACAAAGCAATACATGATATTGTGAAGTGGAAGAATTGTTGTTCTTTATAAAGGCTTTCCTTTGCCTTTTGGAAGTATCTAAAAAACATTTTTAAAAAACCTTTTTTGAAAAAAAAAATTACTTAAGCTCAGAGTGAATAGGGAATATATTTGAATATCTTTTTTTTTTTTTTTTTGGATTTAGGTCTTTACATTGACCAAAAGAAAAGCATTCACTGCCACCAGCACAGGTGATGTCTTCAGGAGCAGTAGTAGTTATAAACAATTACTGTCTTCTTGCCACTCCATCAGAAGACCAAATTTGCAAAGTTCCCAAAAAATAGTTGTCCTTTCAGCTGATTCTACCACCTGAGCTATGAATCTATGCAGCTTCTCCAGAGTTACCAGGGAGATGCATGAATGCTCACTTCTTTTCATTTTCATTAATTCATTAGATTGTTTTAATCTCGTTTTCTGTGGCATGAATTTGCCACCGTTGAGTCCTTTTCTTTTTCTTGTTTTTTTTTCTTTTTTTTATGTGTTTTATTACCAAACACATACCAAAACCAAGTCATCTTGCTTGGACTTAGTTTTGGTATGCTGATTTTATCTTTATTCATACGTATCGGGGTAAGTGGGGCTGAATAAATATGCATGCCACACTTTTCATATGTGTATTTAAAAAGCTTCTCAAATGTGTCATTTTGCTTTTGCTAAACAAGCTGATGTTAGGTTGTGTTAGTCTATCGCATAATATTCCAATAAAATACACAGAAACACTTATGTTTTACAATTTAGGTGTAAATAGTTTATGATCAGGTACTCAGGCCAGAGGACCAGGCTGTTGCTTTCAAGTACACAGCTCCTGGATTAAGTTCTTCCCAGCAGCAGCTCACTATACCAGGGAGCACTTATACTGATCCATACTTAATGCTCATTAAACTGAATGACCTTATCATTGGGAAAAGGTTAAAATAAGATAGAAAACTATAAGTATTGATCAAATGTATCAAGAGGAAATATAATCTGGTGAATTATTTTATTCGCCAGATTATTTGAAATTACAGTTCATTCAAACTCAGAAATAAGACTGAATGAATGTAGCATGTAATACATTTTCATTATTTTCATTGTTTTTGATTGATAATATATTTTGGCTTTATAAGCACCCACATAACTTGTTTTGCGTCTTTTTACACACTGTAGGGAGGTTGAACATTTCACGTGATATAGGAACAAATCAACAGAAGGATGTCTGAGGTAAGATGTGGCCATCAGAGTTCGGTTATTAGATTGTTTATTATGGAGAATCTGCAGGTGTGCTGTCATCGCCTGGGCAGAGCTGTGATTTCCACGATGTCTAATAAAAAAAAGGAAAGCCTACCTTCTTGAGACAAGCCATCCGAGGTCGATATCTCTGTCCATGATCCCGAAGAGCGTTTCTAATGGTCATCTTTTTTTTTTTTTATTTCCACTCACTCACGCTCCTGTGTCTAATGCTGCTGTTGCCAGTGAGCTCCGTGCCGTGTGAGGGGGAATCGATGTAATCGATGCTGGTGATGCGTTCAAATGCCTCACCATAGCGCTTGTTTGAATAGAAATAGACATCTAGTCTAATCTTTTTTTGTCCTACTTAAATGAACGTATTGTAGAGTATCTTTAATTTATTTATATGAGGAAATATGAACTGCAAATGCACTTAATAAATAAGTAACCGAAAATGTTATTTTATGTTACATTGTCTTAACGATGAATTTCTAATAATGTAAACAACTTCTGTCTTTAAAACCAAATGTGCCAGAGTAAAAGAAAAAAATTCTAAAGAATCTTCTGCTGTTGTGTTTTTTCTATTGTTTTTAGTGTAGCAATGGATTGGTTACTTTGTAGAAATATCTTCCAGTGCTTCCTCTATATTGTAATTATTATTATTCAAAATGTAGAGATGCTTTACTTATAATTTATAATTAAAGATGCAATATCCAAGGAGTTACTTGTGTTTCATTTGTCCCAATCTGCTACGTTAATTATCAATGCTTTATGAAGTGTTTCAACAAATCTAGGATATATTCTTCAGAAATATCTATTAATAACAAAAAATATATATTGTAAAGGGTTTTGATGCTGCCTCATATCAATCTCGAGCAAAAGTAGGGCCTAGTAAATAATGAAAGAGGTGTCTTTGTTTGTATATAATATTATAAAGTCAATAAAACTGCCACTCACAATATGTCAACGACACTGCAGTTTCACCAACATGCTCATGGGAGGTCAAAGACGTCAAAAGACAGTATGGCTAGTGGTCAGAAAGCCTACAGCACTTGAACACACCGATGTAAAAGGAAAAATGAATCAACCAATCAGAATCGTGCGTTCTTTTACACGGAAACCATGAGCCGCAATTTCTAACATAATCCAGCAGAGAGTGGTGTTGTATCATTTGAAAACATTGATTTATTGAAAGTTTACTGATTATTCACACCATTGAATTATTTATAGAGTGTTCCTATAGTTTTTTATAGATATTTTGAAAATACGACCAGTCGTTTTAAATGTGAAGCTGCGGTTTCCTGTTGTCATAACCGAGCGCGCTCTCAGATTGATAGCAGGAGCGGTTACTTCCTGAGTTTAGGGAAGGGGCTTGGTCCTGTGCTCGCGCCTCGCGAGAACGCGCATCAAATTAGCATCGATGAAGTTAGTGCGAACATGGCGGATTTCCTGCCGTCCAGGTCTATGTTAAAAGTTTGTTTGCCCCCCTGCCTGCTTAACGCCGGCGAGGCGGAGCAGATCCGAAAGTCCAAGGAGATCGACAAAAATCTGTCCCGGGAGAAAACGTACGTGAAGCGGCTGGTGAAGATCCTGCTGCTGGGCGCTGGCGAGAGCGGCAAGTCGACTTTCCTCAAACAAATGCGAATCATCCACGGCCAGGACTTCGACCAGCAAGCCCGAGAGGATTTCAAAGGAACGATCTACAGCAATGTTATCAAAGGTAACCTGACTTTGTGTTGCTTTACGACTGGTAACTTTATGAGGGAGGAAGCGAGACGCTCGCCTGGGACAGAAAAGCCCCAGAAAGGCGTTTAAAACGGATGGGAAAGTTTCCACATCTGTTGAGCGGCGCTGGGGCTGCTCAGAGGACACACATAAACAGTCTTCATCTGCTGTCGGCACACCCAGTGAGCCGGGTTTCTGTTCAGATGGGGCTTTCTAACACTTTTTTGCGGCACATAAAGTTTAAATATCCGATTTAACACGGCTGTAACCGAGTTAGCAGGCTCAAATAGCCACGGCCACGTTTTGTTGCTCAATGGAGGATAACCCACCAGTGTACTAATCTCTGTAAGGTGTTCCTGTTTGTGTCCACTCCCCAAATAGCACCAATAAAAACGACTTGCTGATTAGTAATTATTTAGATAAGTATTTCTCTGTGATGTAATTTAACGTATTTTTTTTATTTATTTTTTTTGTATTTCCTGAATTAAATGTATAACCTAATATCATCTTCCCCTAAAATTTCAATCACTTTTAAATAAAAAAATGGCCCCAGTTGATGCTTTCAATCTTGGAGGTGTTAATGTATTATTATGAGGACTTGTTAGGTCAACTTTAGAGTTATACCATGGGGTTTTTTATTTTTATTTTAAAATTGTATTGGTCAAGAAAAGCCTGATTGTTGCATAGTTAGTTTAAACCAACTAATCATTTATTGAGTTTAATATTTCTATTAGTTTTACTTCAAACTTGGATTTCAAATTATGTTTATTCATGTTTGAGATTTAAAAAAAAATCTGATTGCTTTCAGCTGTTCATGTCTTACAATGAGTAATGAATGAGTGATAATTTCCTGTGAACTTATTGTTTAGTTTACTTTTTCTGTTTTTAAAATTTGCAATCCTTAAATATTGAAACAGTTGATTATTCAAAACAGAAATTGGCATCAATCAGGAAAACCTTGATTCTGTGCATCTTTGGTAAAACTTTATTTGCATTGACTCTTGTAGAAACTAACTAGTAACAAAATCTCAATTTTTTTGATATATTTAAGACTTACAAAAATATTTTTTCAATCTGCAATGTCTCGCTAAAATCATTGATTAAAATTGTAAAAACCTACTTGTAGTTCTGTAACTGCCAGTTTGTATGTCATTACCACATTGCATTATGTAGCATAATGATGCTATTCAGGAGAAGAAACCAGTCAATGGGTAGAGATTGGAATCACACTATTTTCTCTTGATCAACTTTGATCAGTGATATAGACAAAAAATAATTTTTGCAATTCTTGTATGATATTTTTTGTTTTGTTTTTATCAAATTATAGAACTCCATTTGTATCATTAAAAACTTCATCTGATAGCATCTGGACATATCCTTGATGGAGAAATGATTGCAATTAGTTTTCAGTTGAATTTAACACAACTAATTAATCAAAGGGCCTACAGAGCACATTTTTTTCTTCATATATTAAAGTTTTCAAGAAAAAAAAAAACCCAGGAATAGTTCAAAATGAGAATGGGCAGAACAAGCCTCAACCAAAACTGGAAATCGGTAAGAATGAACTGGTTTAAATGGGGATAAGGATTACAGTCAATGGGAATAGGGTGGAGTATTAAGTCTTTAGAAAATAACGTATGCTTACGTTTCCATTGCATCTGAGATGTAAGCCTCTTATTATCATTTATTTTCAGGATTTAACAAAAACAATCTGTATTACTAGTTCAAATCAGATGTGACCAAGTTCAGTCCTCGAGAACAAACATCCTGCAACATTTAGATTCATGCCCTCTCCAACACACCTGAATCAAATGAACGCCTCCTTACCAGGCCTCTGCAGAGCTGCATGATGCGCTGAGGAGGAAGTTCAGCCATTTGAGTCAGGTGAGAAAGGATGCATCTAATATTTGCAGGGCAGTGTCTATTAACAAAAGGAGTTGGGCACCACTACACAATAGAGCAATGGCTTGAGAATGAAACGAAAGTAGAAAGAGATGAAACTGCAACTTGTGGGTATGAAATGGCAAAGGAGTAAATTGACCCAGAATAGTGGAAAGTAGTTTAGCATGTTTACTCAAGGGCCTTTTTAAATGTTCATCTCTACATATTACCATTACAAATTGACCTTGGACTTGCACTGTACATTTCTTGACTTCAGACTTCATGGTGGAAATTATTTGAGTGACTTTCCAGCTTGCATGTTCTGGTGACTTATTATGAGCTGGGACTCTACCTGGCCTCAGAGTCAGTTCGCCCCATTTTGTTCCACCCTACTTTGGTTTCATACCCATAAACAAACCAGTTCTTACTCATGGACTTACCCATTTCAATGCCACCATTTTTTTTCTTCTCCTGGTTGTTTCGTATGTTACATTAATTATAAAGTTAACTATAAAAGTCCAATACAATTTTATTAACAAGGCACTTTAAAACATCGTTGGTCAAAGTGATGTGCATTAAAACGAATAAAATGGGCATGAAAACAAAACAACAATTAAAACATCAAAGGCAACATCTCATCTTAGTCAAAAGCCAAAGAGAAGGAATAAAAAGAACTAAAAGAAAGCTCAAATATCACACAATTTGATTAAGAGTATAAGGATTTTCTTTTTTGTTTAAAGTTTGATCCGCTATTCTCCATCCTTACTAGTTGGCAGTTTATAACTGATCAAACCAAAATAACAATAAACAATCGCCTGCTGGAACATATATATATTCTTATTATTTGGGTCATCTAACCCCACTTCCTGTCAAGACTATAAGGAGAGTAGCTCAGTGGTTCAAACTGGTTTTTAACAAGTGTTACCATGAATACAAATGTGCTGCTCTGTAAAAACCAAAAAGGGGGAAAAAAATAAATAAAACACACAATTAGTTGCATAATATAATTGGTTAAACTCAAGTATTCTATTTTTACTTTTTAAGTTGGATGAAAGATCAACAAACTTATCCCTAAACATCAAAATGTAAGTCTCTCATGAGCTTCAACATCCAATATGTCTGCTTTGCATTTAAAGCATAGTGTGAGCAGCATTTATTTTCACCTTTGATTATTGGTTTCTTGTGGAATCTAATATGAACACGATTATAGACTGCCTCCTTTAGTGAACTTTTCAGAAACTTGGACCAAACTTTCATGTGATGTGGGAAAAGTGTCGTATTGACTTGGCTCCTATTTGTTGGAAACTAAACTGGTTATTTTATGGAACCAGTAAAGAACTGGCACCATCTCTAGTTAAGCCCCATGACTGCATATCAATTAACAAATCCAACTGGTTTTCAAGCTTACGGTGAGTTTGACGTCATTTCCAGATCCCAGTTCCAACTAAAGTAATAAATGAAATGCAGCGCATGTTCCTGAGTTATTGTCATCAGGGATTGCCCTTTCTTATGAAGCAGAATAGTGGAATCCAACTGGTTTTCAAACTTAAGGACGCTTTAACAGCATCTTTTGGACTCTTGGTGCTTATTGACTGAACATTGCATTTGATTAATCTCACCTTGCAAATAATTTATGCTAAAAGTAAATATTCTAAAATGATGGCCCAAGTCTCAACATTAGTGCTTGCCCAAGAGTCTCAAAATGTCATTTCATTCCATGGAATGAAACGACCAAAATTACAAATATATGAAATTACGAGGCACCTGTTTGAAAAGAAGTCTCTCATCATTGATATGCAAAGTTAAAGGGGGGAAAAAACTACATCCCCCATCCCCCAATACATTAAATTAATCAAAATTAAGAGCATCTTGCATCTTCATATTGGTCAATCAATTTGATACAGTTTTTTTTTTTTTTTTTTTTTTTTGAGTTAAATAAAAATCAGATTGCAGTTAGGGACATAAATGGGGATATTTGTGCAATTTCTTCATTTTTTACTAATCTACCACCTCAACTAAGAACTTTCATCACATCTTTTCCTATTTTTCACTTGCAATAATTCTCAGAACAAAATATATGAGTCGGTCAAAAGGGGTATCGGACCTCAGAATATTTATATCACTCAGGAAGAGCCTGATTGGTTCGTCTCTGAAACTGCTTGTGTATTTTTGCTCAAACCATCTCCAGCATCAGCATCTGACAGCTTATACATCAGTACTTAATTGTTTGTCATCTGATAATAGATTGATGGCTTTTGTCAGATGAACAAATCTTGTGTATATTTATACTTTATATTGACTTCTGGCTAACTAAGATAGCGTGGCCAGGTTAATAGGTCGAGCAGGGAAATCCAGGCATCCTCCCCAGCAACACGCCTCGAATGATATAAAGTTCTTAAAGGGTGTTCCTAGTTTGCCTCAGGGCCTCCTCCCAGTTGAACGTGCCCCAAAAAAAACCCTCCTGATCACCTCTGTTGATCATTGTTAAATCTTTAAAAGCTAAATAAGAGAATATTTTAGTAAAAATTATAAAGGTGTACAAACTTTCTGCAAATACAAAATAATTTCAGGTTTTTCTGCCTACTTTAATTTTAATCAGTTATGTTTTATATTTTGTTCTAAAGACTAACACATAGATGTCATGCAGAACATGTAAGAATCAAATAAGTATTACCATTTATGCAAAGTGTGTTTCCCTAACCTGTTAGCTTTCAATAAGCTGTAAAAAGGACATGAATTTCATTGTTAACTTGTTGATTACTGATGAGGTCAATAAAGGAATAACTGGAGTCCAATTGCTTGGTGCATCTGATTTAATGGCATCAAAATACATTTTGTATTTTGTGCTTGCTTTGCTATATAATATTCTGTATAACTAATCATAATAGCAGAATATTATAGTATAAAACAGCTTGATATCTAACAATACTTAACACCTGTAGTGATTCGATGGTCTGTAAGGATGATGTTGAATACTTTCATCATCTCACGAATAAAATAATATTTTATTAATATGGGTGCGATGATAAATCGGCCCCATTCCTTTTATTATTGACGAGTCATTGATTCTTGCATGCATAACCCATCTTATCCACTGATCCTATCTAACTCTGCAAAGTTCTGAAAATAAGCCACTGTTCTCTTTGCTGTGAGAGACAGAGAGAGAGAGAGCTGACTGGCAGACCCACCCACCAGGTCACGTCTGCATGTGTGCGGTTAACAATAGTCTCCCCACTGTTGCCAACTTAGAAACTGTATTTAGTGAGTTTTGGGACAAAAACATCTGCATCAGCCAAAATCGGAATCGGCGGGACACGCCTTTTAAAGATCGTTTGATTGGTGATCGGCCCAGAAAGCTGCAATTTGTGCTCCCCTATTATTATCATGACGATAATATTAGTAATAGTAAATGTTTTGGCTCTGTGCTCGCTGGTCCTGATTTGCCCGTTCCTCCCTCCCCATCCAGGTATGCGTGTGCTGGTGGACGCGCGGGAGAAGCTGCACATCCCATGGGGCGACGAGAACAACCAGCAGCACGGCGACCGGGTGATGGCCTTCGACACCCGGTCGGCCAAGATGGCAAACGGGCAGCTGGAGATGCTGGTGTTCCTGCAGTACGCCAAGGCACTCAAAGCGCTGTGGGCGGACACGGGCATTCAGAACGCATACGACCGGCGCAGGGAGTTTCAGCTGGTAGGTTTGACTCGACTGAAATGGAGATAACGGTGCTGTTTTTTTTTTGTTGTTTTTTTTTTTTTTTTTGTTCCGACGGCTGGCGCTGATAACTGTTCAGTATTGCTGCAGAGCACTGTCTTCTATCAGCTAATCTGAAACGGGTTTTCAGGTGGTTATAGTTTGACTTTTCTCTCTCTCTCTCTCTCTTTCTCTCTCTCTCTGTTAGAGAAATGAAGGCATATAGAAAATGGCAGTTAAAAAGAGAAAGTGAAACAGATTTAGAATTTATCCTCCTTTCCTGCCACTGCATCTCGAGCTTAGTTTTAGTATATTCTGCCTTCTGTTAGGCGGTCAGACATGTGATTTAGTCAGCTTCCTGTTTACACCTCTCCCTGCTCCTTATATCTCAAGCACATTTTCAAACTGTGACGTTTCCCACAGAGTGGCAGCTGTGGTTGAGGCTCTGCTCACGTGTCTCGCCGACTAGTGGGATCTCTCGCTGTTTTTGTGTGGCGGGACTTTTACAATCTGCTGCACGTCTAAAAATTCCTCATTTTTCTGCCTGTCTGTGTGTGATTTCATGAGATGTCATGTGACAAATGTTTGAGTCAAAGAAGAGGCCCCCCACCGAGGACGGAGCGAGAGACGCACTTCTCCATGTTGCTTTCAGTAATGAGCCAAAAGTTGTGAGTTGCACAAGTCTGGAGTGTTCTCAGTGGGATTTAGCTCTGGAGGGAATTGTTTTCTTGTTTTTTTTTTTGTTTTTGTTTTTTTGTTTTTTTTTCTTGCAGGCAGGAGGGGGAATAAGTGTTGATCAGAGCAGGAATGTTGATCTGCTCTGCAGTTTTAAACGGCTTTATGCTTACCAACAGAGTCCAGACTCTCCTATTCGGCATTATTTACACACAAACACTAAGAGTGTTGCACGCCTCACGCAACATAAGCACAAGGACACACCTGCACAACACGTGTTCAGGGCTCAAAACTCCTCATTTCAGCTCATTAGTATAAAACTATTGAAAAATTTCTTAATGTGACGAAGGGTAAAACCGACTTTCAAAACTCTTAAAGTTACAATACAGCCACATTTTGATGCATCTCTTCATAGATATTTATGCAATCACAGCGGAAGACTACATCCTCTTTTGCTTCTAAATTGATTTAGTTTTAACCACAAATATGCAAAAATGTAATTATTAGATAAAGTAAAATTAGTGGAGGTGTGAGGGAAATCTAATCTTTTACTGCTTCCGTCGGATCTGGGCGAAAGTAGCAGCCTGGTGCTGCTGCTTTAAGTTGATTAATCAATTGTCATTTTTGCTGTCTGGAGCAATTTTGAACTGGTTTAAAAAGGTGACCTTCCAGCTTTTTGAAGTCCATCTTGCATCAGAGTTGAATGTGGACGCTTTTAAAGTGCGCGCCAATTTTCTGAGGATTGGACATCCCAGTGAATTCCCTGATGAATAATCAGAGAAACTAAAAGAAAAGATAAAATAGGCCAAAGGCCTCTTTTAGCTTAGAGGTTTAAGGGGAGAAGAACACTACATATTAAAAAGACAATGGCTGCACAATGCAACCAAAGTAGATATGTTTGAACATAATGTGCAGTACCATGTTAGGAGGAGCATTTAAGCACAAGTGTTGAGCATAATAGTGGAGGGGCAATGGTTTGAGCTTGTTTCACACTCACGAGACGTTACGTTTTCCCTAAACTTCACCTTAAAAACGTATTCTGGAGTGAAACTGACGACTATCTGGCTAATTGTTGATGCTCAGTTATCGCAAACACAGCAACAAATCTACAACGCACTGGCTGAATGACTTGATAAACACCAGGGTGTGTGTTCTCAAAGATTCTCCGAGTCTTCTCAGAGCGCTCCCATCTTGGACTAAAATTTCCTGCCAAGGACTCTCAGGACTAAGTGAGGAGATGGCAGAGTTTCCCATCTTTAGTGATGTGCGGTTTACCCTGTTGTGTAGGTTTGAATAACTTCTATCTGAAGACGTAAAATTTTAAGAAAAATCTCAGAATTACAGAAATTCTAAGAATTTTCCTACTTTTAGTCTTATGGCGCGTTCACATCAAACGCGTTACGTGCGTCAAAAACGCGTCAGATGCTTCAAGTTCGACACGTGTGCACTTTGAGTGCAGACGCTTGACATTTTGCTCTACACCTAGTGTTTTGGGCTTCTGGTTTACATTCAAAGTCCATGAGGCGCGTCAGATGCGTAAAAATTGCTATAGCGGTTGTTTTCCGTTGCCGACCTATTTGTTGGACGCTTTTGACGTCGTCAAACGCTCAAAACGGTTCAAATCGCACCGTGGTAGATGCGTGAAACGTGCCGCAGCGTGCTCTCTACATTCTTCTTGTTCCCACGCTATTGACTGGTATTTGCAAACCAGCTAGTACAAGAGCGCTATTTATTTTATGGCTCTACACCCAAGAACAGAAATAAGAAAAACTGTAGATATTAGCTTCTGTATATTAGTTGAAGATGGTTTCTACTTGATGTGCAGAAAAGCATATTTGGTGTTTGAACTGCTAAAATTTGCAGCTATACCCATGTTTAGCTGGGTTTTTAAATATACATGCATTTCAGCATAATTTTACGTGAAACCCCATGTGAATACCAGGGTTCTATTCTACTTTGTTTTCACAATGTCTGCAATACTCAACATGTCTCCAACAAGACTCTTTCCTCACCTAAACCCCTCTCACCCATCGCTCTATATGTAGGCACATTTAGACTGCATAGTCCCTGCAGTTTCATTGATTCAGCCCATTCAACCCACTGGAAATGTTGTATAAGTTCAATGAAAATCAACATTAAATGTTACAATGTGCACTTTGTGATTCCGGTCTATCCAAGCGAAGCGTGTACAGTTAAAACAACGTAACATTAATATTAATGTTAAAGCTTTGGGCTTTTTGTGTTTCCGTTGTAAATTAAGCAGATGAAAGGGGGAAAAAAAAATCTGACTCATTTGTAAACATGGAGCTCACCACGTTTTCAGCAGTTGCCCACCTTAATAACCCAAAGTGGTTCTTTCCTCTGGTCCATATGTGGATTTTACCAGGTCCATCTCTACCAGGATAGCATGGAAACTGGTTGGTGGAAAACTCCTTTTAAGACTTTGTTCATCCAAACAAAACACACACCGTTAGAAAAAGGTTGACACACAATTCCTTGTGGATTCTGTTATGCAACATATTACTTAGCAGTTTTAGCCATAATGTTGACCTTAATTGTCAGACAAATTAGTCTCAGCATAGTATCAGAATAAATTGCAAATCACTCCTTGAATGCATCATTTTATATTTTTGATTTTCTTATTAGAAGTATTTGGCTTCAGGGATAAACCTTTATTGTTTTCACCCAAAATGGGTCTTGGAGACAAAGATGTTGGAGTTCAAGAAAATATGTTAGGACATCAGGAGGGAAAATGTGTTTATATACCTTTCTGTTGATATAAATTCCTAAAATCACTTGACCATTTGTGGCAGAACACAAAACCTCAGATTTAGTTCAATCGCAAATGAAATTATTTTTTTTTTTTATAGTATAGCAAATGATTTGCAGCAAAATGTAAAATTGTTGGGCAGATCAAATGTTCAATTGATAAAGCACACTGAATCGAAGCACCAGAGAGATCAATCAGAGAAAATGGGCGCAGGACCTTAAGAGCAGTTCAGCTTTTTAACAGCTCGAAGCAGGAAGCTGCGTAGTAGTCTGGTGGTTCTGCTTTTAATGTTGCGGTACCGTTTGCCCGTTGGCAGCAGTTCAGAAAGTTCACAGAGAGGGTGGGAGGAATCTGCTGATGCTTGGAGCCCTTTTCCAGCAGCAGCTCTAAAACTGAACCTGAAGTGAGGATGGTGGAGACTAAAGACACCTTTCAGCTCTCGTCACTGTCCTCTCCAGGAAACTGTGGTTTGCCATATTACAGCTGGACTTCCACACCGAGTACAGTTCAATGCTATTAATCAACCACAGATTGTTTGTGAGATCCTCGTTGGGAAATATTCTTGGTTTGGTTTGTTGAGAAGACAATAACTGTAAGAAGTGTTGGTAAATGAATTGGGTTTAAAGTGTAAGAAAGTTGACCAAAGCATAATATTCCTGGGTTTCCATCCGGTGCTGAACTTCACCTTTCTGTCGACTGGTTTGATGTGACCGAATGTGCCATATCGCGATGCCAGCAGGGGACAAGAATTGAACTAAAAGTTTTGAGCGTTCCCAAGGCAAGCTAGAGGAAAACGCACCAATAGATTTGCCCGCGACTGGAATCGTCTGATTTTCCTGATCAGTGGTCAACTCTGCTGTAAACTAAAAATCCCGTTCCTTTTTCCGGTCAGCGGAGTCACCGTGAGCACTGCTGATGACAACATGCTTCATTGTGGAAGTAGTTATGTGGATAAATAACATAAGATATATAATTATTGTGTCAAATAATAATAATAAACGACACTAGCCCATTTGAAACTCTTTCAAAAGGGTTATCAAACGATAAGCGCAGACTTACAACGCAGAATAGGCCAAGGTATAATAATACAAAATATACATATATTGTGATGATTAATTGCACAGCTTAAAAAGTATTTTTGTATTTTCTGTGGTATTCCAGAAGATATTTGGATTTAATCCATTCGTCTGTACTCATACCTGACATCTCCACTTTCACTTTCCAGCCTTTTCCAATGGAGAATCCAAGTAGATTATTCTGAAACCTGAATATGTCGTTGTCATTGATCTGTGAGGATCAGCTTGTTCTCCCACCAGGAGGGCTCCCTGTTTTGTACTGTTTTAGTATTTGCATTTCAAAATGCTCTTGCCCCTACGGCTAGTTTGAAATAATCAACATAAAACCACCGTTGTCTACGTTGTTTTCCGCATGACAGGTTCTGAACAATTGTGCTTAGGAAGTTGGGGGAGAAGACTTAATTAGATCAATAATATACCACAAAGCTGACTTTGCTGCATATTGTGTTTCAGTTTTGCTTTTTCAGCAGCCGTGCTTTAGCTACAGGCGCCATGATGACTCATATTGAACTTCGGAGTTATTGCTCCTCTGGTTTCCCTTCCTGTTTTTTGTCAAAACTGATTTTTTGACGATTTCAAAACCACCGATCCCTGTCAGATTTGAGCTTCTTCACCCACCCAAAGCCAAAATTTTAATTTGGCTTCGCGTGGAGGAAGGTTAGCTTCTTTTCTTTGCCTTCTTTCTGGTTCTCTTGTCGTAGCAGACCATCCTGCTCCTCCCTTGTGTAATTCTACCTGTGCACACACACATCCGTACACTCACAGGTTTATCAGGTCGGGCTAGTTTTTTTTTTTTTTTTTTGTCTTTTTCTTCTCAAAGATCAAAAGGTTAGGACAGAGACTTGTAGTGACGAGGGTGGGTGGGGAGGGGGGGGGGAGTGTCGGGGTAGAAATGATTGGCACACATTGTCAACCCACACGAGTACTACCCAGTCACTACATCAGGCCCAATTTGAATTTTACAATGACAGTTTCCTTTCATGCTGCATTTTATGCAAATAGCATGCTAAACATCTCAGTTTTAAGGTGTGGTCAAGGTGGACGGGTCCCAGGGAAACTCCGAATGATATTTTCAAGTTGCTTTTCGGAGAATTCTTGCCAAAATCTTCCGTCACGGATCCATTATTATACTCATCCGCGCACACAAACGCACTCCCCTATACGCTCGGATAAAGGAATGCTCCTTGGTCCTGGCAGCTCCGTGTCTGAACTTGCACTAACTGCACAAAAGCAGCGTCAGAAGTGACTCAAGAGGAAAAGAGAAAACAACCAAACCTTCTCCTACATACAGAGAACCCCGGCCGCACTCCTCTGCACATCAAAGACACGCTTGCGAACACGTGTCTGCTTCAGCACCCGATCATTTGCATCCTGCTTCAGCTCGACTCTGAGGCAGACATGCAGCTTACAGAGAAAAAAAACAAACAGATTTCCTGTGTGTGCATGAGTCTGTGTGTGTGTGTGGCAGATGAAGGGAGGGATCTCTCATGGCGCCTCCACTCCACAACTGACTTCTGATGAATGTATTAATACATCCAGACCATGTTCGTTGACAAATGGAATGATCTGAAACGTCCTGAATGGCGTGAAAGTAACAGAAGTCCCTCCTCTCTCTCGTTGCAGGGCGAGTCGGTGAAGTATTTCTTGGATAATCTAGAGAAGATCTCCCAGCCGGTAAGTTCTTCCTGCCTGCATTTACTTTTATGATCAGACATGTACATGTTATAGTTAATAAAGCAACAGGTCCAGACAGCAGGAGGTTAACTGAAAAGCTGCAGGCGTGTTTGTTTGCAGGTCTTGATGCTCAGTTTTATTCCAATGAAAATTAAGTTGCCTAACCGCCTTTGCAGCTGACACAACTGCTCTTTTAATGGGAAAGTTCTACCCATGGAGTTGAGGCATTTTGCATTATTTATAAATATATGTTTGTATGAAACATTATAGGTCTTCTATTGTCACTGTACCAAATTCCATCTTTCATGAATTACATTTTTAAGCCGTTCCGTTACACACCATAAAAAGCGGATATCCTTCCCATACTCTGCCTTGCAAAACCTTTACACTTTTTATCTCACTACAGCCAAACCTAAAGGACTGATACTAAATAGTAAGCCTGTTGCATCAATCAATTAATCAATTAATCACATGATAAATAAAAATGGGTTTCCATTTTGATTAATACTTGAGGGAAGTTTTATTTACACGGACATAATATATGCTTTTATTTTTTGGCTCCAAGTTGTTTTGTTTTTATTTTACTGTTTTTGGTTTGCACATTTAAGATATCTTCCAGTTTCAGTGTAAAGTGTTCTTTACAAAATTACAATTTATTGGTTTTCAATGGAGCCAACTTGCATTATTATACCGTCATCAATAAGTTACTTGAAAATTGTAACATTTCAAGCAATAATTACCAATAGATTTGGCAATAAGTAGAAAAATCTGTTTTGTAATTGTTGGCACAAGTTATCATCCAGCAAAATTATTAATAGTTATTGTGACACTGCAAATAATACATAAGTGCGAAGTTGAAGAGGTAGGATACATTCCTTTACAAATAAAAACTTAATCACTCATACAAAGCCACTTTTAATTCTAGCGTTTAACATCACAGATACAAGCAAAAAATAAAATAAAATCATCCGACCTCCAAATGGCTCCCAGTGGCACCCAAACTCTATATATCATATAAAATCCTGTTGATGAGGGGATTTTCCCAACAGCTGCGCATGCTGCCTTCAGGTACAGCTGGTAAACGGGGTTGTCAAAATAGCAAAGCTTCTCCAAAGAGTTTCAACATGTTTTATTCTAATACAGGGAACGGTCTCATAAAAAAGTTCTACACATTAACCTTGACAGTTTTAAGTGGCTATACTATTTTATAATGTATTCTTGCTTTTACTTCTTTGTTCATTATAGAAATCCAACAAAACCTCCAGTCAGTTCTATCCACTTTTGTTTAGATCATAAAATCTAACTTATTTGCTAAATTAAAAACATCATTTTTACTGCAGGCCGAAGTAAAAAAATAAAATAAAAAATTAACAATTTTATGTATGTTTGTTTGAAGCTTAGCAAACCATGACTTTAAAACTCATGTACTTGCCAAACTGTGACTTTTGTGTAGCGTTACACCCTTAGTTTGCATGTCTAATTTTTACCCTTTGTAGATTACGGCATATCTACAATAAAATCACTGCAGTTTATTCCTGTATCCAAGACATAAATGAACATGAAATCTAAGCCTCTGAGGTAATCTTCACGTCAGAGCCGCATATATATTTTCCGTTCCTCTTCAAGATTATTTTTAAGTGACTTAACTAATATTCTGCTGTGTTTGAGACTCGGTTTGTAGCTGAGACAAATATTTTTAGATTATTAATAGTTATTTCCATCCTTAAAATGGGACTTGGCTGTTTGCGGAATTTACGACCGTTTTTATTCACATCAGATATCCAAATCATTAAATACACCTTCTTTTATTAACTTTCTCTGTCTGATCTGCTGCATTGAATTGGTGTCTGGTTTGGACAAAGCATTGCTAAAACAAGGACTAACCCAGGAGAGAGAATTAGCAGGAACCTCAGCCCCAGTCTTGGGTTGTATGATGAAAGATTATCTGAAATCTTGTTTGCAGTAAAAACTTGGATGTTAGGATTCTAGGATTGATGAGAAGATTAGTATCCGGGATGTTTTCCTTGTTGTCTTTATCCTACAAATGCAGCATCTCGTGCAGAAATTCAACTCTGAATATATAATGTTTGACACATATCTGTGGTTTTGTTTCTGCAGGACTATCTTCCCAGTCAACAGGACATCCTCCTGGCCCGCAAGCCCACCAAGGGCATCCACGAGTATGACTTCGAGATCAAGAACGTTCCCTTTAAGATGGTGGACGTTGGGGGCCAGCGGTCGGAGCGGAGACGCTGGTTCGAGTGCTTCGACTCCGTCACCTCCATTCTCTTTCTCGTCTCTTCCTCTGAATACGATCAGGTAAAGAGAAAAGAGGCTATCGTTTCTGTGATCGGCCGACGAGACGGAGCAGGAATCTGTTTGTTTTCATGACGTTCGGTAAAGTTTTAGTCACATTTTGTCAGGTTGCAACCATGAATTTCAGTGCATTTCATCAGGATTTTGTGTGATAGACAAACACAAAACGGTAATCACGAAATGAGAGGAATATTGCTTTTCTAACATTTTAACAAATTCAAATCTGAAGCCTTAGCTTAAGTTTGTCTTCAGTCCCTTCAGTCAAGTGCTAAAAAGTACGCCTGCATGAAATTCAATCTCGGTATCAATCCAATTGCTCTTTTAATGACTCGGGTTTGTTAAAAAGCATTGCATAAAAACAAACTCTTGCAGAAACTCTAATCCAGGTTTCTATCGATAGGAAAACATAATAAGATTCCAGCAGGGTACATGGAAATAATCATATTTAGAGTGTGGAAGTAATAATTATTAGAAATCTTTTGGTATAATTGCACAAAATTAACATATTTCCTCCTTTTGCCACCTGCTAAACAGCCAACCACAATACCTGTAAAAACAGTAATGCTCAAGTGTTGGTAGAAATGTGGACAATGAACCAGCTAACGACAGGATGATTATATGATGTTTTTATGCACAATCTGGCTTTTCGAGTCACATTGACTGTCATACAAATACTGCAAAATTTCTTGCAAATATTTCTAAATTGGCCCCACTAAATCTGTGATTTTGATTGCGGAAAAGTCACAAAAACAATCGTGAAATCCTGGTTTCGATTGTTTTTTAAGATGAGTTTAGCATGTACAACGTAGATTCTGGCACAATCGGCCCTTTGTAAACATACAATGGAATCACCGAATGCAATTTCTCGCACCTAACTGTGCTAGAAATCGCCCTTAAAACATATGCTGAAGAGAAATGCAACTGTGCACGTTTTAGAAAATGTATTCTCTCTCTCTCTAGTTCTACCTTAAGTGTTGCCGCTAACAGTAGTTTTAGCAGTAGTACCTCAATTGCCCATCAACATCTTCCAGGTGCTGATGGAGGACCGCCAGACCAACCGGCTGCGAGAGTCGCTCGACATCTTCGAGACCATCGTCAACAACCGCGTCTTTGTCAACGTCTCCATCATCCTCTTCCTGAACAAGACGGACCTGCTGGAGGAGAAGGTGAAGCTCGTCCCACTCAAAGACTACTTTCCCGAGTACGCCGGGACGGAGCACAACCTGTCGGACGTGCAGGCCTTCATGGTGGAGTGCTTCCGGGCCAAGAGGCGCGACGCCACGCAGAAGCCCCTGTATCACCACTTCACCACGGCCATCAACACGGAGAACATCAGGCTGGTGTTCCGGGACGTCAAGGACACCATCCTCCACGACAACCTCAAGCAGCTCATGCTCCAATGACACCACACACACACACACATTCACACACCAAACACCCCCTTTTCCACTGCCACGCCCCGCAGCCTGTGAACGTAAGAGGACGTGAATGGGGACGGACCACCTCTCGCTTCCTGATGAGGACTCCAGAGATCATAAATTGATGTTTGCAGTCTTTAGACTTTCTGTTTTGTTTTTTTTGTTGTTTTTTTTAATTTTCAGTAGGTTTTACTCCTTATGGAAGTGTTCATCCTGTTAGCTCAGGATCTGATCATTGGATAGGGTATTTAGGCAAACTGTGGTATTAAAGGTATAAGCAAGAAACCGCACTGGGTTTCTGGATGGTATCTGATCCCTGCTGCTTTGTCCTCCTCCCTGAGCTCCACCTCATTCACTTGGTTATTTTTTTTTTTTTTTCTTATTTTTAACCCTTAGGATGCCAGTGCTGGCACCTGTGGAAGCCGGCCTCGCTTAAAATCAAACTGGTGAATAACATCTACTCTTGTAACGCAAACCGAGCGACTGTGGAGACATGTTCAAGCGACGCATAGAGAAAGTTGATTGGATTCAGTTCATGCCCAAGCACTGACTTTTAATATTTCCTCGCCCTGCCGTGATGCTGAGGGCGAACCTAACTTCTTATTGACCTGAGCGTTCAGAGTAAACACGTCTGATCCGTCTCCAGCACTGACACGTCATTTATAGAAGTCACGCAATCACAAGACTGAACCTTTTTCATCCATGACCACATAGGTGTTGCCTTAGAATTTAATTTTTTGTTGTTATTATTATTATTTTTGGGATGTCGAGAGGGTAAAACGGTTACCTTCGTCGGACCGTTTGGTTCCAGTAAGTTAACGTAAAGTCCGCTCTTTCCTCAGGGTTGAATCGGATCCGGTGTCGATACTGATGTGTGAAGCTCGATGTTTGGCGGTGGGAACAGGCCTCCATGCCGTTAGCTAGTTGGTGTTTTTAGGACTGCATCCTTCCCCCAATTCGTCCTTCCGCCTCTTTTGATTTTATTACTGATTATAGATGCCTTATAAAATGACCTTCACAAGGCCCTCCTCCCCTTTGTTTTGCCTTAATCATGAATGTGTGTTAATAATTGTACAGGGATTTGCTCTTGATTGTTTTGAATAAACTGTAACCGGCCTGTGAAAACTTCGTTATTGGCACTGAGTTGTGACTCTAAACGTGTTTATGGAAAAAGAAAAAGAAAAAAAAAAAGCATTGAACATTTCCCTTTTTTGTTGTTTTTCTTTGCACACAAACTTGTGCTGCTTTGGACTTCCCTTGAAAATGCATTGTGATTATTGCTGAAATCTGGCAGAGGGGGGAAAAGCTACTGGAGTTACATAGTTTTGAGTGACTGTAACCTGTAGGGGCGGCTGATCTTTGTTAGAGGACAGTTTAGAGGCACTCGAGTGTCTTTTGCCAAATACTTCTACGCTTTATTTTCACAATTTTTCTGCATTATTTTATTTCTTCATAAGTAGAGCTCTGCAGAGCTTTGGTTTCCTTCCATCCTTGGCTTTGTAAATACTGTAATCTGTTTTCCTGTAAATATTATTCCAGTTTATCTTCTTATATGTAAATGGTTGTAGAAAATGCATATTTTTTCCCATGCCGGATGTTCTTCAAATCACTGCATCTTACCAATGAAAATGACCTTTTGATGTAGATTTTATTTTGTAACTCCCCCCCACCCCCACATCACATTTTTTTCAAATTTATCATGTCAAATCCCATGCTACTCTAACCCTATCAATAAAATAAACTTTTTCTAATGATACTGATAACGATAACCGTTTTTTTTGTTTTTTTGTTTTTTGTTTTTTCCTGACTGTTGAGCATCATTTTTACTTACTATAGAGGTGAAAGATTTGACATTTCAGATACAATGTGAGCTTCTGCTGCGTTCAAGGATTTATAATCTTAAATGTAAAAATGTCTGTATCAGCAGATGGTTTCATCTACGAGGTGGGTTTGACATTTTTGGTCTCGCTCTAATCTAAGGAATGTAGTTTTAGGGAGGAAAAAAAAAAATCCATGTTTGTTTTTAGGTTGTCAAACATGCCGTGACTTTTTCATCTGATTGGCTATTCAGCCATCATGATGACTCCTCTCCCAGAAACGCCGGCTCCTGGTAATCTGTGCTGCTTTGGGGAAACAATCAAGAAGGTTTGCCCACCCAAATCAACAAAAGTACCAATCACCGTTAGATAGTGAATTAGCTGTGCTTAATCATGTATTTTTAAGGTTGGATTTTATTTCTGTAACCACACCTTGGTCTGATGACTGTCTGACCTGCATAGTAAAGTAATGATTTAAAATAGGACCTGTCTGACAGCATGAAGTCACATTATTCACATGGCCTGGTATGAATAAATTTAAGAAAAAGACTTTTGTTAAAGACTTAACAGGAAATAAAGCGTTGCTTTCTTTCATGTGAAATAAAGCAAATAAAGGTCATGCTTTCAACATTACTTCAAGGAAGGTAATGTTGAAAAAGGATCGCAAGGGCACGTTTCAAAACTCCGCAAACATGTCGATAATTTCCAAGAATATGGGGAGAATATCCTGGGGATTCGTGAGACTAACTCTCTCACTTTCCCCGAAAGGTATTTTCTGCAAATAAAAATGCACATTCCGTTACAAACCCTGCGATTTGTCCATGTTGGAGGATCCAAAATGAACTAAATGTGGCAAAGGTAAATGTTTAAATGTGAGACGCTGGAAAAACAAATTCACAAGTAAAGAAAGTTATTAAAAAGAAGAACTGGTGGAACAGAATTAAAATTCCTTGTTTGTGTACACAGGTTTGGCTAATAAAGCTGATTGTGACTCCGAGTTAACGAAAATGATACTCAAAATGAAGCTCCAAAAATGAATCGCCTCTTGTGCGAGAATGAAGATAATATCTAAGCGGCACAGAGAGACAAGGATGTAAATATTTGTCAGACTGGAAGAAAAGTTTCTGTACACTTCGTATTTTAAAAGCTGCAACAGCACAAGTACTCAACTACAATTTCATCAGCTTCTCACGTTGTGTTGGAGGTATTTTGACCCACGCTTCTTTCCAGCGTTGCCCCCATTTATTGAGGTTTGCAGGCCCACATTTAGGTTGCCATGGCACCACCACCACCTCCTTGTTTGCTTTCTTTTTCAGTCATATTGCTTGCCGCTGCGTTTGAAATCATTTTTCTCCCGTAGTCCTCAGCTGTCTGACATATTTAACTCTACAGCCTTTTGATACAAGGTAGAACATTTGTGCCTCAATGACTTCAAAGAGCTATTTATCATCAACCAAATTCACATTATGCCAGATCATGTGGATTCATCTGGCATAATGATAAATGTAAACATACATCTTGTAACTCAAAATGCATATTTATAAAGTAATGCTGAGAAAATAGAAAGAGGTCAGATTATCGAAACTGAACTGAACTCAGGCAAATAAAGCCTGATTATGCCCATGTGCTCTAAGCGCTGGCTGCCATCTTTTGTCTGGGCATGGGAAAGAAGAGACAAGTAAAACAAACCAATCGATCATAATCACAAGCCAAAGATGAAAAATGGTTGATTGAAAATAGATAAGAGAAGTAAATGTACATGGTTGCAAATTAAACTACTCAGTAAACATTTACTGCAAACTAGAGTGATTCATTGTGTTTGGATAACAATAAATAAAGCAGTACTCCAAATCACAAGACATAATCTAAACTTAAGCTCCGAGACTAGATGATTTTATGTACTGATTTGTAAAACCCTTAAATTGAGAGTGTAAGCTTATTTCTTTTTTTCCTCTCTCTTTCTTAAAAAAACTAGATTTAATTCCAAGTTTTAATAAAAAGGGAAGAACTGTTTGATTGGTAGTAAAGTGTTTCGTTTTTGCTGGAACTGAAATCAGAAACGCTCCTGCTGATATAGCCGAAACAAAAGATGACATCACTCTCTTTTCTAACGTTATGCGTTGGAAAAGACGCACGACGTTGTGTATTCGGAGGTTTGGGGGATTTACGCAAAGGCGGAAACAGTGAGTGTTAATCGCCCTAACACTACCAAAGGTAATGTTGAAGCTTCATGTCCAAACAGGACTTTGACTGCCTGGCCTCCCTTTTATTGCCTATACACATAAAATAGTCCACGCCTAGACACGGAAGAGTATATACCGGCTTTCTTGCCCTGTGCAAACAATACGTCAGCACGTCCGCCATATTGTAACGGGCAAGATTTCTTTAGGGACAGAAACAAGTGTGCATGGGGACGGGGTTTCCTGAGTTAACGCACTAAATTATAAATAGATACTATTATAAGCCATTTATAGTACTTTTACTTTAGTACTTGACTTGAAATGCAGCTCTTTGGACAGAATAAAAAAAAATACCTGCTGATTAAAATATGAAGTACTAAGAGACAAACATGCTCAAAATACACTTAAACTTATATAAATTCACTTCTAAATTTGCATTATGTGTTTATCTCTCTCCTTGTTTAGCTTTCTCGTTTTAATCAGAAAGCTTGCGGCAGAATTTTAGATTTCTTACTGAATTTTGTAGACTTCCTTAATAGAATGTGACTGATCAAGCAGTTTGTTTTTCAAGAGGTAACTGCTTACCTTGCCAGTAAATATGTTCTTTAGAAGTTGAGTTAGCTCCTTAATTATCAAAAATCGTGAATATTATTGATTTTTACATTTATATCTTGTACGTTTTCTTTATGTATTTGGACTTTTTACCTTGGTGCATACTCCTACATAGCTTAACTGTTGTGACACTTGCATTTCTCCACTGTGTTACAAATGTATATTTATTGGACGATGATGATAAGCCTTATTGTTTGTAAAATATTCATTAATATAAAAACACACATCCACTTCAGAAATATTTGTGTTGAAACCACACGGCATGTTCATTTTTGCTATTTGTGTCCAGTGAGCTCCACAAATAGCACTGAAATAAACACATAATTCTCTATTTAAAAATATTTTATGGAATTAGTTCATAGTAAAGTTCTGTGTTTTATTAATCAGGAGTAAAAGATTCCAGTTGTAGTCCGAGAATTTGCCACTCACAAAATGGCGGAATTCGCTCACGTATCGTTTCTTTCGGCGACCAAAGCAATCTACTGTTCTACACTTACAAATTCAAATAAAAGTTTAACCAGTTGTATAACTCGTTCATTTAATATCGAATTCTAAGCATCATTTTAATTTTGAATTATAAAACTTTAAAGTTTCTACAAAATATCTGCGTTGATCGTTTTTATTTACACTCAGGCTTCACACTTGCTACCCAAAAAGGTCTTTCCCCAACATGTTGTGAAGCCAGAATTTTAAAAACACCACTCGTGTTTAAGTGTTACATTGGCGCTGGTTAATGTTATGATAGATAGTGCTTTACAACAACAAGTGACTCCGCTGAAATTGACCCTCTTTTCATTTTGGGAGCATCCTGTTTAAAACTGCGTAAAATGAGCTCTGGTAAGTGCGTTAAAAACTGATGTAATCCACATATTTAGAGCTGTCAGTTCTTAACTACATCTACAGAATGATCTGTTAATTATTTAATATAAAATTGTCGTCATCTAAAGAGACCTCGTGAGAAACGAAAAGGTCACCCCTATTTGTAACTTTGAAATAAATAAAATAGGTTAATATTATTTAAATTGTTTTTTTTATTGATGTAACTTTAAATGTTGCATTAACTTGATAAAGGCGCTAAAAACTTGTCTTTCATGGCTGACTTATCTATTCATTGGAAACATACGCTAATACAAAGTTTGGGATATTTTCCTATGAGCTGAAATGCATATTAAATGTATGTCATCAAAGTTGGCCATATATTCCAGTGGTAATTTGAATAATCTGAATTTATGAATTAAAACTAACATTACCAACAATAAAGCACAGCAAAGAATATCAATGTTTTCCACTTTTCTTGAAGAGCTACCCTCGGGTCTCTGGGGTTCTGGAGTGCAAGGTTACAGTCACACACATACACATATGTGTATGTGTACACATACACAGTTGTTCTCAAAGGTTTCCATAGCACTGCAGGACACAGTATTT